AGCCACGGGGCTGCCCTGAAAGGAGGAAAGGAAAACTGTGGACCATCCTGCCCAGCTCAGCTATTCTGGGAGGGAGGGCAGGATTAAAATCCACTTCAGGGACAGGAAGGGACTTTCTCACTGAAAATGTCGAGATAGTGTGCAACAGCAATAAAAAGGCAAATAAAAAGACCTCATTTGGAATACTGTGTGCAGTTCTAGTCACCACACCTTAAAAAGGATATTATAGCTTTGGAAAAAGGGCAGAAAAGGGCAACTAGAATGATAAAAGGGTTGGAACACTTTCCCTATGAGGAAAGGTTGAAGCGCTTCGGGCTCTTTAGCTCGGAGAAAGGACGGCTGAGGGGTGACATGATCGAGGTTTATAAGATTATGCATGGGAAAGAACAGGTAGAGAAAGAGGTACTTTTCTCCCTTTCACACAATACAAGAACTTGTGGGCACGCCATGGAATTGCTGAGCAGTCGGGTTAGAACGGATAAAAGGAAGTCTGAAGTGTAGTGGGTTAGACGCGTAAAGAAAGCACGGAAACTGATGTAGTGATCAGCATGGCTTTACTGGTACACAACAAGACTAAAGACTAACGGCCGGCAGGCCAACTATATACACAGTCCAGGGGCTTCCCCTGGTCCCATTGGTGGGTTTGAATCTCCCGCCAAGGTCCCATTGGTTCCCCCCAGTGGAGGGACTAGAATCCTAGTCCCATTGTTGTGCCGGACTGAAGCTCAGGAGTGTGCGCTGACCTCCGGTGGCGGTCAGCGGACACAACATCCCTCCCCCCATAGTCCGGGCCCTCCCCTAAGTCACGTAGTCCTTTAAGTACGATGGGGACCGTCGTACTCTAGCTGACCGTCGAGGGGTGGCCCCTCGTGCTTCCGGAATTCCGACCTCAGGGCCGGGTTCTGAAGAGGGAGCTGGTGCTCCTGCTTCCGCCGCCTCCGGAACGGGGTTTTCCTCGACCGAAGCTGGGGCCGTGGGGCCCTGTGCCGGGTGCTCCTCGGCTGGCAAGTCCTGTGCAGTCGCCTCGGGTGTGGTCTCTCTAGGTTCCGTCTGCTGTCTCGTCTCTTCCTCTGTCTGGGACTCCGGTAGCACTCGCTGTCTGAGCTGGTCGATGTGCCTTCTCCATATCTGCCCGCACTCCATGGATACCTCGTACATCACGGTACCCAGGGGCCGGAGTATGCGGCCCGCAATCCACTCCGGACCGCGGCCGAAGTTTCTGGCGAGAACCGGGTCCTCTGGGAAGAACCCCCTTGGTGCTTCCCTCTGCTCGACTGCGTTTCTTTGGTCGGGGGCCCGGTCGGGGTGCAGGCGGTCCAAAAGGATCGTTGGCTTTCGACCCATCAGTAGTTCTGCTGGGCACCTTCCGCTGACAGGGTTGGGAGTCGTGTGCTGGGTCAGGAGGAATCTGGCGATGCGGCATTCCCATTCCCCTTCCACCATCCGGCTCAAGGCCTCCTTTGCGGTTCGGACCATTCGCTCCGCTTGGCCGTTGGTTGCGGGGTGGAACGGCGCTGACCGGACATGTCGGATCAAGTTGCTGCTGAGGAACTGCTGGAATTCCTCGGACGTAAAAGCCGTCCCGTTGTCCGACACGATGGTGTCCGGCAGCCCGTGTGTGGCAAAGAGTCCTCGTAGGGCGCGGATGGTGGCTTTTGCGGACGTTGCAGCCACGGGGCTTATTTCCAGCCACTTTGAGTAGGAATCCACCGTGACCAGGAACAGCCGTCCCTGGAATGGCCCTGCGAAGTCTATATGGAGCCGGGACCACGGGGTACGGGTGGATTCCCACGCCTGCGCTGGTGCCCCCGGTGGGCTGGGTCTCACCGCCTGGCAGGGCTGACAACGCTTGACCCATGCTTCCACCTCTGCGTCGATGCCGGGCCACCAGACACATTTTACCTCAGAACAGCAAAACTGGTTAGAATGTTAGAGGCAAAAGCCAATCAAGTAGCATATGCAAATGACCTCTGTGTTCCGAGGCAAAGGCCAATGAGGCTGCATATGCAAATAACCTCTGTGTTCTGACTGGCTACGGGGGGGGGAGGAATAGCAAAATGTTTAGTATGTTGGAGGCAGGACTCAGGCAACGCAGACAGTGGATAAGG